ATCATCTTGACGTAAAGAACGGACGTTCCAAGCCCCCACACTGACTTCCCGCCTGAGGTTCAGCCTCTGGCAGTCACTCCGGGTGGATGCCACCTCTGCCACCCCCACCGACGCTGCCTTATATAAAAGGGGGTGGCGGGCTGCGTGCCCTATCATCCACCAGTGGAGTTCCTGAGGGCTTTCCCCCACAAGCTTCACTCTGGGCTGGCGGCCACCAGAGCGCAGGGGAGACGTGTAGTTCCCATTCCCAGCCTGCGCTTCAGCAGTCGCCCTCCCAGCAGGGCCTCACTTGCTGGGTGGGAGGGACTTTTCCCCTCCTCCCAGCCTTTCCGTATATTTGGGACACTGCCGATTGGTTATATCTGGTGTAGAGTTTCTGAGGAAATAAAGTCTAATACTGTTGTGCCGTGTACCCAGAGTAGTGCTTTGTTCTGTACTGATTGCATTTTGAGTTTTTGTGAGTGAGATATTGCAACCAGCGGGACAGCTGTATATTCGAGAATTGGTCTGACAGTTGTTTTGTATAGTCTGAGTTTGGTTCGTGGTGTGCAGCATGAGAAGCGTCGGAGTTTGGTGAGTATTGTGCGTGCTTGTGTGATTCTCTGTTTGATGTGTGTGGTGAATCCAGTGGTTGAGAGGTGGAAACCGAGAATGTTTCCCCTGTTTGAGTATGGGATGTGAGTGTTATTGATTGTGATGGGTTGTGAGTATCTGCGTGCGATGTGGATGAGTTTGAATTTGTTCATGTTAGTCTGTATTTTCCAATGGTGCTCAAATGTGTTGATGTTCTGTATAGCTCGTTGTGTTGTGAGTTTCATGATATGTTGTGATTTAGAGGGGTGTGAGATAATCTGCGAGATGTCGTCTGCAAGAAAGTGTTTTTCTGCAGAGGAGGCGCGTGAGATGTGTAGGGAGTTGTAGTTGTATTATTTTGTATTTGAGGCCGTCATGCCAGACCTTGTCAAAGGCCTTGCTGACGTCTCGTAGTATGATGTTGATCTGGTGCTTGTTAGCGAGACCGAGAGCGATTTCCTCGTAAGCGAGTGCAATCGCACTCTCGGTCCCCCTGTGTGGGCGAAAGCCGTATTGCCTACTGTTGTGTTTGTTGTTGTTTTCAAGGTGGGTGATGAGTCTGCGGGTAATAAGCCTCTCCAGCAGTTTCCCGGGAACTTCCAGCAACGAGATGGGGCGGTAATTCCCCACCTCGTGTGCTGACTTCCCCGACTTCGCAATAAGGGTGATAGTTGCGTGTTTGAATTTGTCGGGGAAATATCCTGTAGCCAAGCAGGCGTTGAAGATATGGCGTAGCTTGCGGATCATAGTGGGTGGCAGATGTTCAATGATTGTTTTGTTTATGTTGCTTGCCTGCTGTTTGTGTTCGTGTGTTTCTGTGTTCTTCTTCTGGAGTGATTGGTGTGGAGAGGGGACTGTCCTCTGTGAGATTGTTCAGTGTTATGATGTTTTCTGGGAGAGTTAGGTTTCTGTGTTGTTGTAAGTAGTTTGTGACCTCGGTCTCTGTGGTGTTATCGAAGCGGGCGTTCTCGGCGGGGAGATCTGGAAATTCTGTTGCCAGAATTCCCTGTGGAGTGCCTCCATCCCCTCCACCGAGTTCACCCTCTGTCTGTGTGCGTTGTAAATGTATGAGACTGTCTGTCTGTTCGACCCATGAGCATTTTGAAGGAGCTCCAAAATTTCTTGGGATCTTTCGTGTTCTGACATAGTTTCCTCGCTAGTGTTTCCCAGTGTTGATTGCTCATTACTCTAACTTCGTGTGTGAGCTGTGTTTGTATTTCTCTGTATCGTGTGCGTAGTTGTGCGTCCCAGCCCCGTGTTATTGAAAGTTCGTGTAGATGCCTGTATTGTATTTTCAGCAATTTCAGATGATGTGTTTCTCTGTAATGGGGGATAGTTTTGTATGTTGTTTTGGGTATGTTGGCCTCACGGGCCGTCTGTATGTCTGTGTACCACTGTTCAAGGTGGTTGTTTATCATGTGCGTGGGCTGACCCTCGAGATCGATTACTTGTGTGTTTTCGAGTGCTTGTTTAAATCCCTCCCAGTTTGCATGTTTGAAGGATTCTCGGGGTTGTGTTGGGGTCATGATGGGGTTTGTTGACAGTGTTATTATTACAGGGAGGTGATCACTGGAGGTGACGTCATCTGTGGTAATGTGGTAGTGTAGGTGTGCTATGTGGTTCGCGAGTACTATGTCAGGTGTTGTCGCTGCGTTATGTGCAATGTATGTTGGTGTGTGTGGACCGAGGTGTGTGAGTCTTCCTTGTTGTATGTAAGAGGCCAGGCCTCTGCCAACTGCATTTGTGTCGTTGTAGCCAAAGAGTGTGTGGTGGGCGTTGAAATCTCCCATGATGTATATTGGTTTGTTGTGCCTCAGGAGCTGCAGGATGTCAGGTTCGGGAATGTATTGTCTTCGTGGTGGTATGTATAGTGTTGCCAGTATGATGGGTCCTTGTGGTGTGTTTACTTCGACTGCCAAAAGGTCTGAGGTGAAGTTATTTATGATTTTGTGAGGTATGTCGTTTTTGATCGCAATTGCTACGCCATCGCTTCTTTCCTGTGATTTGTTGGAAGAATAGACAGTGTAAGTGAAGATCTTCAATGGAGTGGTGTTATTGAGCCCATGACTATTTATGAGGATGATATGTGGGTCGTGTTTTCTGTATGTGTTACAGAGTTCTGTTTTGCGTGTTGTCCAGTGTAGTACGTTGTGTTGTATAATGGTGAGGCGTGAGTGTAATGTATGGTGTCCCATGTGTATTGTGTTGTTATTCAATGAGGTACCCATTATGTATTGAGTTCATGTTGTCACAACGTTCATCATTCGTTGGTGACCTGTAAGTTTCCCCTTTAGGTGATAGTGTAGTTTCTTTATCGTGACCATGATTGCATGCTCCTCTTTCGTCAGTAACCACTTTATTCGCTTATTGCAAATTTCTTGGCCTATTTCATAGCGATCAGAGTACTCGTATTTTTTGGTTTTCTGCAAAGAGGCGGATGCCGTAATACGTAGGGTCTGTGGCAGTCCCATCCATGAGGCGTTCCATCCCCTGGTCATCGACATGGCTATAACCTGGTTCGGTTTGGTCAGGTGTGGGTGGTGGGGGACCAGGTGTGTCGAGAGGGGTATCACTGCGGATATCCCTGGTTTCAGCCTCTGTGGGGATGTGTATGTATTTTGGCCTCACAGATGGGGTGTGGTGGGGGGTGCGGGTGTTGGTGTTGACTCCTGGGGAGATGACTGGGGTGCAACTGTCTGGGCCTCAGCAGGCTGAGGCTCTGACATCTGGGCAGGCTGAGGCTCCTGTACCTGAACTCGTATAGTTTGTGGTCTCTGGGGCTGGGGTTCAGGAGGGGCCTGGACAGTCATGGTTGGGGGCTCAATTACTTTGAGGATTCCCCAGGAGTTTGAATCTCCGAGATCGAGATCAGGGAGATTGTTGTTTGCCAAAGCTGCCTTGGTGTGGTATCTAAACCCTTTCTCAAGGGGCAATAAGGTTCTGAAGGTGGGCGTGGAGGAGGACCACGAGTATCTCTCTGGACAGATTATCAGGGAGGGCGAGGTGGATTACAGGATCTGGGTTTTTTTGCTTAATGTCCTGACGGACCTGATTTATTAAGGGCTTCCAGGCGTTGGTGGTAGCCTGCACAGTTTCCTGTGCTGCCTTTTGGGCCACAGCCCTGATAGGTCTGGTCTCCTTCTTTCTTTTTCCTTAGACTTCTCCTGTGAAGTCTTCATTGCCTCCTTTCTCTTGGGGCAGCTATTGGCAAATGTCCTGTGGGCACCCCCACAGTTAAGACATTTCTTAACCTAACTTTTACAGTCCCTGAATGAGTGGGTGGAGGAACCACACTCAGTGCATTTCTCTTTTGCAGTTGTTTTTCAAGTGGCCGTATCCAAAGCAATTCATGCATTGCCGGATAGGGGTGTACCTCTCAAACTCTATCTGCCAGGGGGCAACATATAGCTTGAAAAGGTACATCCCCTTCTCCTTAATTGCTTTGGCTGTGGCATGGTCTGTGAATCTGGCTTTTATGATGTGGTTCGCCTTCATCACATAGATGTTGTCGACCTGGGCCTCTGGGAAGGCGGCAGTAATCTCGTCCTCGATATCGAAGGGGGATTCGTTTACGACCTGGCGGTCCAGTTTCTTGAAGACAAGCGTGAGTTTTGCCTTCATGTCCACAGGTAAGACAGGAGAGAAGCCAAGCTTCTCCAGGGACAGGACGACATCCTTTGAGAAGAGTTTCTCGGCATGGTCGTCATCGTCAATTAGGGCCAGGTATCCATCCTGGATAGCAATTTACCGAAGTACTCTGATTTCAGCACCATAGAGTGCATTGGCGAGCGTGTCACGTTTCCTCGGTGAGGGACCACCGAGGACTTTGATTTTAATTTTGGCCATAATCAGGGGTCATAAGGGTGGCAGGGGTATGCAGGTGAGGTGAGAGAGGAGAGGAGGAGGTGAGAGTGAAGGTGAGGTGAGGTGAGAGAGGTGAGAGGTGGGGTTGAAAGGGGTGATTGGAGAGCCTACACTCGACCCCCCCAAGTGACAGACTGGTTGCATACTCCAGTGCACTTGAGGATCGGAGCTTTGTGATGGGCCACTCCCTTATTGCCAATCCTTGCTACAAAGGGGCAACAGGTAAGTGGCGCGCCACCCAGACGAATACAAAAACCCACGGGGGGGTTATGTAGGTCCAGGTGACCACAAGAAAGGGAAGGAGTTTAGAGAGAGGCAAAGCGTACCTATATGTCGCCTCAGACTGCTGGGCCTCACTATACAGGTTGCCCTGTGATAGGGAGAGGTACAGATATTCCCGTATCACCATTAATAGCTGAACAAGAAAAAGACCTTTAAGAGGCAAATGGCAGAACTCTGCAGAAACAGAGTAATTTACTTTATAGTTTACGTTAATGAGTAAAAATCAGTGCAAAAAAGACCGCAGTGCGACTGAGGCCCCGGCAGACCAGGGTTGTTCAGTGACACTTTGGTAGTTCTTTTTGGCATGAAAGTTTACTCCTTAGCATAGACTAGGTGATGGTGGGGAGTGTGTATTTTTCGGCGGAAAATGCGGTATATAAACAAACGGCGAAGTAACACTGCTGGGTCGTTTGCCGTTGAGTGTGCTGATTGGCCGACGGCTGCATCCTTATCTTCCGCGTCGCGGCGAATCAGCGCCGCGGACCTCGCCTCGCTTGCCTGCCGGCAATTATGCCGAGTGAGGTGCGCCGATGCTGATTGAGGCAATTAAGCGGAGCGAGACAACGCCGGTGCCGAGTTGATTATGACGTCCGCCACAATGCCTCCCCCCTAACAAGGGAGAAAGGGACTGCAGATCGAGGATCCTGCGAGGGCGAGACTGGCGTCTGGATCTCGTGTAGGTGGCGTCATCGTGGTGAAAAGGCGAACTCGGCCATCCTGCTGGGGTGTAGGGTGGGTGATGAGAGCGACGGGTAGGTCTACTGGTGGTGAACTACCGGGCTCCCTGGCGGAGGTCCTCTTGCTGAGTGTCGCTCGGGCCGTTGTTGGGTACGACGAGGGGCTGGTCATGCTGGCGCCGCAGAGGGTGAATTTTGCCCAGCAAAGGTTGGTAATGGCCAGGTGTACTGCCAGGAGTTCTCTGCTGGATGTCAGGGGCTGTCGTCTGCCTTGGATTTCTTGCTCCAGGGGAACTCCTACCGGGACTTTGCTGGTGTCTGTAGTGAGGCAGAGCTGGGCGTCGGGGCTGGTTGTCTTCGTTGTTCGATGTTGTGGCCGTGTTGCGTAGTGGCCACCTTCCATGTTGTTTTGGATGTCTTCGAGGTTTCCACCTACATCCATTGTAGGCCGTGTTGCTGAACCGCTTGTGGTGCAAGCAGATACCGTCAGCGGCAAGGAATCGGATGAAGAGCCTCCGGTTCGTGTTGGTCCCTCGGGCAGTTGCTGCATTGATGTCGGTATTGGCCCACGGGAAAACGGGAACTGCTGATTGAGACCGGGCTTGCCGATGAGCTTCCATCAGTGCGTTGGTTCTGGTGAAGACTTCAATGGCCATCTCGTTCGTGTTGTGGAGTTTCTCCCTGATGTTGCCAGGGAGAGAGTGGAGCCGAATTTCTTTTTTAAGGTCCACTTCGTGGAACTTCCCTTCTGCATCTTTGTGGGGAGGCGGCATAGGGTGGTGATTTCATGCCAGATTTGTTTTGGAGTACGAGTTCCGAATAGCAGGTTGGGGATGTTGAAAACTTGTCGTGCCTTCTCAGACGGAGAAAGAGAAAACTTCAACAGCTGCTTCTGAGTGTCATACTCAATTTCGTCTGGCTGGGCATCTAATCAGGGGACTTTCCGGTGGAAAACTTCCTCAGGTGAAACGGCTACGATGTGGTCTGCTTTGGTGGTCGCCTTCACTATATTCTTAAGCCTGAACTGGGTTTAGACTTGCCGAAACCATGTGAGGGCTCCATTTGGTGAGAAGGGTGGAAGGCGGATGGAGGCAGCATTCACTTCAGTGAAGAGGGTGGCTGCGTTGGAGTTCATGTCGTTTCCAGGGTCACCAATGTAGAGAGGCCTAGGGCGAGGTAATTGAGAGAGCCCTAGGTCCTAAGCAGACAGGAGAATTAAACTCGTTGCAGAGAAGATGATGAAGTGTGTATTTTTCAGTTCAGTTCAGTTCAGTTAGATTTGCGAAGTTATGCTTCGCCCAGGCCTTTTCTCTGGAGTGCCCAGCCTGTGTTAACTATTTCTAGTTAACTACATGCTTATCGTGGTGGCTGAATTGCAAGCAAGCGATCCAGCTACCACAGGGTAAGCATGTTGCACACCCTTTTTACCAGCCCGGCGGCTGTGGTGGGTGGTCCCTGCCTCAGAAATTGTGTGTACACAATTCTGCAAGTAATGTAACAGGGTGGCGTTAGGCTCACCACAGTGTTTGCATAACCTGGCAGTCTCATAGTCAATAATTTGCCAATCGCATTGGTAACCTAGTCTTAGTCTGAATAGTATGACTTCGGTACCTCTTTTTGTGCTTGGAGGAAGGGCCAGTGGCTCATAGCCTGAAGCATCTGAGTACCACTTGGCAGCAAGCTTTGGTACTTTGGCTTAGTCCCCTTCGCCTGGGTTTAACGATCATGGAGGATGGGGGCATACCCCTGCCCTTTTCAGCTACTTTATCAGCAAGCTCGTTCCCTTGTATGCCTATGTGGCTTGGGGCCCAGTTAATGATGAATCTTCTACCTTGACTAAGGATTCTTTGGGCCATGGTTAGCACTTTTGTCAAGAGGTAGATGTTGTCTGGGGGCATGCTATGCTGTAAGCTGTCAATAGTTGCTCATGAATCTGTGTGAATGACGTGTCCTGCCTTTAGGGACATGTGTGTCAGGGATTCCATGATCGTAACTGTTACAGCTTGAAGCGTTGAGGCATTGTCAGTGACCCTAATGGATGCTGTGGTATCCTTTGTTGCAAAGCCGGCGCCTGCAGTATGGTGTATTGGAAACACGGATCCGTCCGTGTAGTATGTTATACTACCCGGAGGAGTTATTTGATCAGTGACCCTTTGTGCTTGTGCCTTTAGGCTAGGCATGGAATATTGATCTTTTCTCATTGTGAGATTTAGAATTGAGAATTCGAGCATTTCGTTTGCCCACGACGGGGGTTCTTTGTAATCAGGGTAAGGGGAGTCCATACCCTTGGCAAGCATTGATTCTTTTAGCTGAAAGCGTATCAAAACTCTTGCTGTGTGTGAGCCAGGAATTGTCCGCAAACAACTGGTAATCTTGTAGGCGTCTGAGATCTTTGTCTTAGATAGGAGTTTCTGAGTGCCTGCAGGACCTTGGAAAGGAACTGTGCTGCCATTAGATTGATTCTGGTGTCCATGGACGGTAAATCAGCTTCCATGAGGAGGTTGATGACCTTTGTCCACTTAGGTGCACCTAGAATTATCCTGGCTGCTTCGCTTTGTATTGTTTCCAGTTTTTCTTTTAATGTTGTACTGGAAGCAATGAGGGCGACAGATGCATAGTCAATAATAGGACGGGCAGCATGTACACAGAATGATCTTAGTACTTTGTGTCCTGCTCCTATGTGTCTCCCTGTCATGACTTTCATGACTAACAGTCTTTCCTTGGTTCTGTCAAGCAGGTATTGGATCTCCTTTTTGAAAGTGAGTGTGTCCTATCCATACACCAAGGTATAGATAGTCCTTCACCTATTCCAGATCCATACCCTGTACAGTGAGTTTTTTGTTTCCGACATTAGTTCTCAGAGCCATTGCTTTGGATTTTGTTGCTGATATTTTTTGACCCGTCCTACAACACTCTTCAGACACCAGGTTCAGACAATGCTGAGCTCTAGTTAGGCAGTGATTGCCAGAGGCTATGATTGCCAAGTC